TGGGCGGGCGCTCCGGCTGCTTCCCCTCAGGGCTTTTTGCCTGTTTTCCCCCCCCATCTCGGGGAGGGGGGATTTAAACGTACAGCACAGCACCCACGTGGGATGGCGACGTGGTGCTGGGATCTGCAGGACGGGGTGCGGTTGGGGGGGTGCTGTGCCCCCCCCCTTCAGCTCCACCTTAATTTTTTCTTTTTTCCTCTTGTTCCTGCAGGAAGCGACCCCTCTATTTAACCGCTCTGCCTTGGTCAGCCATGGACTAGGCTGCCCCGTGCGTGGGCAGGATGGGGCCGAGTCTGCCCTGAGCGCTTGCTGGCTCCTCTCTGCAACTCAGGGGACACCGCCAAATCCCCTTTCCTCCCGCAGCCCTGGACTGGAGACACCCAACACCCCGACTGCAGCTAAGCCCACCCGCTTTGTGCACTATATTGAGGATGCAGCCGGGCAGGGGGTGCCCTGGGGGCTCACAGTTTGGTCTCGCCTCACCACGGCTGGGGTCTGCTCGCTGCCTCTGGCTCCGTGGAGAAGAGGAGCGTGTGGAGCCTTCTCCCTGCTTTGTTGCCTACCTTGATCTGGGGGAAAATTCATGGGTTTATCACTGAACAAGTTAGCGTCTGCTCCTGCTGTTTGGCTGTGAAACAAGCTGCAAAATGTTGTTCCATCCTTTAGTACTGTGTGATTTTTTTTTTTAATCTGTCTTTTTCTGATTGTAATTAAATTGTGTGAATCCCCCAAAGCGTACAATAAATACTTGTACCCAGCTGCGGTCTGTGCGTCCTTCAAGGCTGGGTCCAGGGAGAGGGCAGCCCCCAGGGTCCCGTGGTTCTGGCTGCGCCGCAGCTCCAGTGGGTTTCGCCCCGTGAGGCCAGGGCTGAGCTGGGGCATCGATGTGGGTGCCCCTCCTCCCCCCCAGCAGGCTTGAGCCCGTGTGGCCCCCAGTATGTCAGAGAATCTTAAGACCAGTTGAGGGCAGAAGGGACCTCTGGAGCTCCTTCAGTCCCACCACCCTGCTCCTGCAGGGTCATCTAAAGCATGCTGCCCAGGACCTTGTCCTGGTGGCTTTTCAGTAACTCCAAGGGTGGAGATGCAGAATCACAGAATGGTTGAGGTTGGAAGGGACCTCTGGAGATCATCTAGTCCAGACCAGATATCTAGAAGTTAGCGTCTGCTCCTGCTGTTTGGCGGTGGAAAAAAACTGCTAAATTTTGTCCCATCCCTCATTAGGGTGTGTTTTTTTTATCTGTTTTTTTTTTCTGATTGTAATTAAGTTGTGCGAATCCCCCAAAGCGTACAATAAATACTTGTACTCAGCTGCGGTCTGTGCGTCCCTTGAGGCCGGGTCCAGGGAGGGGGCAGCCCCCAGCGTCCTGCAGTGCTGGCTGTGCTGAAGCTCCGGTGGGTCTTGCCCAGGGCCAGGGCTGAGCCGGGACGTCCATGTGGGTCAGCTCTGTACCTGCCCCCCCACCCCCCAGCAGGCTTGAGCCTGTGTGGCCCCCAGCGTGTCAGAGAATCTCAGACCGGTTGAGGGCAGAAGGGACCTCTGGAGCTCCTTCAGTCCCACCACCCTGCTCCAGCAGGGTCATCTAAAGCATGCTGCCCAGGACCTTGTCCTGGTGGCTTTTCAGTAACTCCAAGCACAGAGACTCAGAATCACAGAATGGTTGAGATTGGAAGGGACCTCTGGAGATCATCTAGTCCAAACTCCCTGCTCAAGCAGGCTCCTCTAGAGCATATTTCCCAGGATCGCATCCGGGCAGGTTTTGAATATCTCCAGCAAAGGAGACTCCACTACCTCTCTGGACAACCTGGTCCACTGCTCTGTCCCCCTCACAGTCAAGAAGTGTGTCCTCATGGTTCAGTTTCTGCCCGTTGCCTCTTGTCCTGTTGCTGGGCACCATGGAGAAGAGGCTGGCCTCTTCCTCTTGACAGCCCCCCCTTCAGATACTTGTACACATGGATGAGATCGCCTCTCAGTCTTCTCTTCTCCAGGCTCAACAGGCCCAGCTCCCTCAGCCTTTCTTCAGAGGAGAGATGCTCCAGTCCCCTCCTCATCTTTGTAGCCCTCCGCTCGACTCTCTCCAGTAGTGCCATGTCTCTCTTGTACTGGGGGGTCCAGGATTGGACACAGTACTCCAGGTGAGGCCTCTCCAGGGCTGAGGAGAGGGGCAGGATCACCTCCCTCGACCTGCTGGCAACACTTTGCCTAATGCAGCCCAGCATCCCATCGGCCTTCTTGGCCACAAGGGCACACTACTGGCTCATGTTTAACTTGTCCACCAGCACTCCCAGGTCCTTCTCTGCAGAGCTGCTTTCCAGCAGGTCAACCCCCAGCCTGTCCTGCTGCATGGGGTTCTTCCTCCCGAGGTGCAG